GTCGGTGGGGACGGCACCGCGGGCTCTGCTTGGCTGCGGCGGCTGCGGCGGGAGCGCGGGGACGATGCAGTCAGAGAGGGGCAGGCATTGTTGAGTGATCTTCGTTATTCGGTTTCACAGGCTGGGCTTGGCAAGGGAGGGAGACACAAGCGGAGGAGGAGTCAAGGAAACTTTCTACGCTGCGGCTAGCTCCCCTTCCCTCCTTCCTTCCGAGCTGGCAGGAATTACATCCAGGAAAGAAAAAGAAAAAAAAAAAAGGAAGAAAGCAAAGAAACCCAAAGCGAGCAGAGCCCAGCATGTCAAGCACCTGCCCGTGTTTGGCAACGGTGTCGCAGAGGGAGCCTGGGCCAGTGAGGCTCGGGACCCTCTTGCCTTTGGGGACAGCCAGAGGGTCACATGGAGGCTGGAGGAGGCCCTTTGGAAGAGACCTTAGAGTTTCCATATGCCCCCAACCTCTCTACCACGTTTTACACTTGAGGGAACTGAGCCCCTCAGAGGTGAAGTGACTTGTTCCAGGTCACACAGCAGATGAGAGGCAGCCCCTGAACTGGAAGTCGGGTTCAGCCCTCTTCACCCCATCTCCTGGGGTGGGGGGAGGAGGGGGAAGGGGTTGTCTGAAAGCCGTCAGACTGTGGCAAGTTCTCTTGCAGGTTGGGATGGGGGGTACCGGGCAGTGAGGAGTAGCTTTCTCCCTGAGCGGACATACCCTGATACCAAAGGAATGGGTGCAGATTTCCATCCACTGAGCATCGTTTGCATGCAGGTTTAAGTCCCAGAGATCACTTTGATCCCTGCTCCTGGGACCCCAGCATGGCCCAGGGACTCTGCCCAGCTGGTTGTCAGAGGCTGCCTAAAAATCAGCTGGTTGCCGCCACCTGGAGGCTCAGTGCTGCAGCTCAGCCACACTGAGACTGGGATCCCAGGGCCAGTTGCAGCCAGCCCCAGGACCTGGGGGGCATAGGGGCTAAAACTGGGGTCAAGCCCCTGTTCTCTCCTTACACCAGGCTGGACTGCCTTCATGGAGCCTCTTGTTTTCTCTGGTCTCTCCCACACTGAGCCAAGCCCCAGTGCAGGGCTGGAGTGGGCTGTGGCTCCCTCCTCCCACCCTTTGCCCTGACTCCCCATAGTCCATCCAGAGTGGACACCAGAAGCCTGGGACCTCAGAAGGAGCCAAGCTTCCTTCCATCCCAGACCGCCAGGACCCTCTCACCAACCCCTTCCCACTCTCTGCTACTCCTGATGACTTTCCAGGGCCCAAGTAGTGGCACAGCTGCACCAAGAAGCCAGCAGACCCTGAGCCTAGGCCTCCCATTTGGGCCATGGCCCTGAATGTGGAAGACGAGCCTCCTGGCTGGGAGGGCCAGAGAATGGCTTACACAACCAGAAAGACCCACAGATAGAAGCCTTCCTGCCCTGGGGCAGATGCTGCTTCTCATCTCCTTGTGACCTTAAAAGTCACCTCCCTTCTTGAGGTCTCCATTTCTACCTCAGCTTGGCCTGCGTTTCTGGTCTCACTCATCCATACCTTGGCTCCCCGCCCCTGACCCTGAACCTGTTTGCAGCTTCTGCCGCTCCAGCATGAGGAGCCAGGCTAGAAACACCATGATCGAGCCTGGTCACGGCCTCAGCAGGATCTCCACTGGGGCGGCTCAGAGCTAAGTCTCCAGCCTGTCCACCTGAAGGTCATTATGAGGCCAACCTCAGCCTGATGAACATAGTGTGTGAAGACCATGTCAACATTCAGTCCTCCTAGGGGAACATCGGAGCCTGACCCCATTCATGGAAAGCTCCTGATTGAACTCTGTTCCCCTTCTCCGACCAGGCCTGAGAGGGGCTCTCCCCTGTCCTCTGACCCCTTGCACATCCTAGGAGCTCACTTTGGCCAGTAAGACCTCTGCTCCCTCTGCACTCGGGGTTCTCAGTCCATTTCAGAGCTCCTGCTCTAATGTGTCCAGGCACTCTCGGTACCCGCCCAGGGCCCTCCAACAGGGGCCACCCAATGCCCAGTATTGTGCCTTCAGGCACCCTGCCATCCAGAACCTGCAGTCTAACCAGGAGGCCGACAGGAGCTCATGAGGTCGTCAATGATCATGTCACGCGGCGTGCAGTTCAGCCCTAAAGTGTGTGAGACAGACTGCTTTCCCCCGGGGCCTCATGCCCACCCTCCTTCCTGGTCTTTGGTTTCTCCTCCTGGTTTTACCCTTCCCCAGATGCCCTCGCTGCTTTCTCTCCCACCTCCCTGCTATGTGGAGGGAAGGAAGGAGGAGAGCTCCACGGAGCAACTCTAGCCTGAGGGGCAGCCTCCCATGGGAACAGTGAAGCCTCAGGCTCCTGCCTTCCCAGTCACAGTATGGCTGCCAGGGAGGGGTAGCAGGCACTGGCTGCGGGTAGCCGCTGGTGACTTTGGCAGGAAGAAAAGGCTGGGGATGGCAGGGAAGAGAACCAGGGAGCAGGGAGGTTCTACTGTATGCCTGGAGTGGCAGGTGAGAGGGGGAATGCTGAGTAGATGGGACTCTGAATCCAGGGCTTGGCACCACAGGACACTAAAGGTGGAGAGACTGAAGTCTGAGGAAACTGGGAAATTGGAGGAATAGAGGGTAGGGGACTCTGGGGGAAAGCCAACAGCAAGCAGGCTGCAGGTCAGCCAGTTCAGCCAGGCCCCAGGCCCTGCCCCCACCCCAGCCCTGCTCCATGTTGGCCCCAGAGACCCTTGTGCTGGGCCCCATGCCCCTCAAGTCTTCGCAGCCATTTTTTTTTCTCCTCAGAGGACGGGTAACAAAACACACTCAGCTTCAAGCTTGTCCACCTGTCTTTATTCCCTCAGCTCTGCGCCTTCACAGCACAGGGCTCTTCTGGGGAAGCCAGGCCCGAGTGGGCCTGCAGGGGTAGACACCGCCCAACAGGGCACAGGCCCATTCTGCTCCTAAGCTGTGCCGGCTCAGGGAAGCTCATCCACCAGTGCGCTGTTCAGACAGTTGTACAGGTAGATATACTGCTCCTGGGGACAGAGGCAGGGAGAGAAGCCTCACCCCACCCACCCAAATCTAACTAGGAAAGGCTTCCTTGGTGTCTCCTGGCCCCTAGGGTTCCATCTCGGCTGGAGAGCATAGTGGCCCACAGTGCCACCTGTGGCTGTGCAAACGGTGCTGCCTAGAGGCATGCTGTAGCTGGGACAGAACTTTCCAAACCTCCCCGCCCCTTCCCACAGCTGAGCCCCATGTCGCCTCTCACCAGCGTTGGGGTCATTAGGCCACAGGCCTGTGACTGCTGGAGGGCCACGTTAAAGACGTCCACGGTGCACTCAGCCCCTGCCCGCTGCAGCAGCTGCTCCATGGCCAGGAAGATGCCCAACTGGGCCACACCCTTGCTGCAATGGGCCCAGAGTTGGACGGGGTGCCTCCGGGGGTGGGGGTGGGAGACGATGTCCAGGTGTGTGGGAAAACCCAACATGGGTCTGGGGACTGGAAGGGACACTGGGCACTTGGTCAGCCAACCTGGACCCAAGTAGGGAAGGGTACGTTCCTACCACATCCCTGAGAGACCCAAGGGCGGGGGGAGAGGGAGACAGGGAACTGGGAGACTGTGCTTTTTGACTCATAACCTCAGCAGGGCTCAGTGAGATGTGAGGCCCTGCCAGAGGGGCAGTGAGGGGGTCCTGACGCCCACCCCCAGCCCTTTGTCCACAGCACCTGGAGTGGCTGAGCAGCGTGCCCGGCTTCTCTCTCTTGCCGCGAGAGCAGCACTGGCCCACAGCGGCCAGGAAGGGCAGCAGGGTGGTGGCGGGCAGCTCATGCCCAGGCTCCCAGGATGGAAACTGCAGTTGCTGCACCTGCCTCTCCTTTCTGCTCTCCCTCTGGGGGCAAAGACCCCATCAGCATTAGTGCCAGGGGGGCGGAGGGAAGCTGGCACAGGACAGCCCACCGGCCCCATGCCCTGTGGCCCCAACACCTACATGTATGACCCTGAGGAGGGTACAGGGCCAGCCTGCTGTGTTGCTCTCAGCCACCCAGTTCACAGTCACCATATCCGTGACAATGGGATGTGTCTCTGCGGGCCAGAACTCCTGGGGGGAAGGGTGAGTCAGAGCCGCTCAGGCAGCTTCCCGAGGTCTCTTCCCAGGCCCTGGCCACAAGCACTCCACCCTGTCTCCTAAGCCTCCCATCCTCTGTCCTCCTCTCCCTCCCTCTGGTCCCCTCACCTTCTCCTGCATGTCAGGGGGGCACAGGGAGACCAGCACATGGGCCCCATGCTCCCACACCAGCTCCCAGAGCTCCTGCGGCCCTGCAGAGCCCGTCAGCACCACGTGGTCGCGGCCAGAAGGCCCACCCTGCAGAGCACAGCTCGATGGCTTAAGAGACTGAGGGCATCCCCTGGCCATCCCGAGGAGCCCTCTGCAACCCCAGCCCCGGCCCAGGAGGCCCAAGTGGTCAGAGAGGACAAGCTAAAGGGCAGAAGGCCAGCATCATCTCACAGGGAAGAGCCAGGCTTCAGGCAGCTCGTCAGGGGGACTCTCCTCCAGAGGAGAAAATTGCACTTGAGAACAATCGTCTGTGGGAAGATAGTGAGGGTGAGGTTGCCAGAGGTGGTGCCAGATGTCCCTGGCCTCTGCTTGCCACCCACCATCCACACAGTGCACATGCTCACAGGAGATGCTGCTGTGCTGCTCGTGGCCAGGAGGGGGCGACGGAGAGCCAGCCTCTTCTTTGATGGCCTGGAGCAGGAGCTGGGAGCGAGATGGGCACCGACGCTGGGCGGAGCCCACAGAAGTGCCAGCCGGGCAGGCGAAAGCTGTCCTCACTTGTCATCCACCCCCTGGCCTGAAGCTTACCTCGTACTCCTTCAAAAAGCCAGCGTTAGCGTTGGCCGCCCTCTTGGCGCAGGCCTGTGCGAAGTTCTTCACCGAGATGGGCCGGGACTTGGGGCAGGGGTGCAGAGGGGAGAAGGCGCTCCAGCTTCCCCAGGTCCCGCTCCTAGTCTTCTTGGCTCTGCCCGACAGGAGTACTGGTGGGAGGGCACAGGGAAACTGAGCCCCACCCCACAAGGGCCCAAGGGGAGCCGAGACTTACTCTGAGGTGTCCGAGGGCCCTTCCAGAATCTTGTTCAGGAGGCAGCTGTGCAGGAAGATGTACTGGCTCTGACGGGGGGATGGACAGGTGCACTGAGGGAGCATGGCTCAGCAGAGATTTTCCAGGCCCCCACCAGGAAGACTGGGACAGGGCAGGGTGAGGAGGGTGCCATTTGGGGACCTTCCCAGTGCTGTCACATAATGTCAAAGCTGGCATAGGCCTGCCCCACTTCCCCTTCTACAGAAACGGAAACAGAAGCCCAGACGGGGCAGTGACAAGTTTCAGCCCCCTCACCCCCAGTGTCCTCTGTGTGCCCCCCACGAGCTCCTTTACCTGGTCCCTGCCACCACCTCCAGACCCTGTGGCCCCCACAGCCATCCACCTCCCACCCACTCCTTCAGGGTCCCAGCTGCCCAGCCCAGCTGGCTGCGGCCCTCACCGGGGTCTGGATCATGAGGGGCCGGTGCAGCCGGAGCGCGTACACAGCGTTGAACACGTCTACCATCTGCTCTTCCTCCATCTGCTGCAGCAGCCTTGTCAGGGCCACAAAGGTGCCTGTCCGGCCCACGCCTGCACTGTGGGGACAAGTCCTGGGGAGCTGAATGGGCGAAGGGGCTACCCGTGGCCCCTGTGGCCCCAGAGCCCATTCCCCTCAGCCTCCTCCAGCCTAAGGCCAAACAGCGGGCCTTCCAGGCGCTCACCGGCCTGCCCTCACCTGCAGTGCACCAGGATGGGCCCCGCGCCCTGGGAGGCCCGCGCGTGCTCCTGCACCAGCTCCACAAAGGTGAGCAGGGAGCTGGGGGCCTCAGGAACGCTGTGGTCAGGCCAGGTCGTGAACTGCAGCTGCTTCACCCTCCGCCGTTGTTGCTCAGAGGCCTGAGTTAGGGGGCAGGAGCAGGGGAGGGGGCAGGGGGCTGCTCCTACTGATCACTGTCACTAGTCCCAGCCCTGAAACTTCCTTCACCAGCTCCCTGAGGGCAGGGGGAATACCTCCCCCCTCAGACTGGATGTTCCTTCAGGGTGGTGCCTATATCTTCTCCCTCCCTCTGGATGCTCTGAGCTCTTGGGTCCTTTTCTATACAGAGGGTGCCCAGGCAGAGGGGTGATTCTGGTGTCTGGCTTCCTGCCCCAGTAAGTCACGGCAGGGAAGGCAGACGGGCACAAGGAGCTGGGTGAAGAGCGGAGCCTGAGCTGAGCGCAGGGCAGTGCAGAGCCTTGACTTCTTGCCCCACTCTACCCTTGACACACTGTGCAACCTCGGCTGTACCCTTAACCTTCTCTGTGCCTCATTACTGTTCCCTCACCACCATCTTCCCAAGGGAGTCAGGAGCCCTGGGCAGTGAGGTCCTCAGGAAGGAGGCCACGGGGACCCAGGAGATGAAGCACCCTTCTTGGGGAGTCTCAGCACTAAGGACCACCCCACGCTGCCCATCTCCCCAGGACACGCACGTGCTGCAGCTGGAATTCGCGCTTGGTCCACTCATCCTTGAGCTCCTCAGCCAGGAGGTGAACAGTGATGTGGCCATGGGTGATGGGGGTGGAGTCAGCCGGCCAGTAATGCTCACACAGCACCTAGGGCCAGAGGGTTAGCGTGCGCAGAGGGTGATTATAGAGATTGCACAGAGCACCCAACCCTACCACCACCACCCCCAAAACATTCATCCCCACCCATCTTTCTGGTCCCTGTTACCCTGCTGAAATTCTCTCTGTCACAACCCAAGGCAACTTTCTCCAGAGGCCTCTCTTCCCTAGCTAGACCCCAGCATCGTCACCCCAGACCTCTTGTAGGACCCTTGGGGCTTTGAGATGGCTCCTGGGCTCCTTAGTAAAACTAGGTGGCCCTTACTTAGTGGCTGTCTGGCCTTGCCTCACTGCTCGGGCTGGCAACAAACTCCTCGCAGGTGCCCTCTCTGTCCCAGGGCCCTTCAATGAGCGGGCACAGAAGAGGCACCCACCTGGCTTGTTGAAAGAAAAGATGCATAGTGCCCCTACCCTCAATGCCCACCCTGGACCAGTCCTCACCCCTTGATCTCCAACCTCTCCAGCCTTCTCTGTCTACAGCAAGAGCAAGCAGAGACCATGAGAAACAGCAGAGGCCGTTGGAAACTGGGTTAAGCTGGGAGCTCCTGGTCCCTCCCCGCTGCCTCCCAATGCTGGGTGATCCTGGGGAGCCCCACCAACCTCCAACCTGGCTGGCATCACTCCTGTCCGCCTCACCCTCCCTGACAGGAAGATACCATGAGGGTTGCTAAGGCCCATGGCCATTCCTGCAAGGAGAACGTGTGCCACCTGGTGGCTATTTCAGGAAGCTGCAAGGCATGCTCACCCTCCCGTTCTCCATGCCTACTGTTAGCATGACGATGATGTGGACCTGCTGCTCCCACACCAGCCGCCAGAAGTCCTCAAGAGTTTTTTTGAGGGGCCCCTGGGTGGCGATGAATTCCTGCGGGTGGGTGTAACCCTAGGGTGTGGGTGGCAGAGGACAGCAACATGTTAACAAGTGAACCCTCGGTCCCCTGGGCGCCAGCAAGCACATGTGCAACCTCCAAGAGTGAGGACACTCTGGACGCGCCAATACATGTGCAAGCATGTGAACACGTGTGGGCATCAAGGAATCAAACCTGGAGGGGGAACTTCAGAGACCCCACCACCACCCACGCTCCACCTCAAGAGGGCAAGAAAGCCCCCCATGAAAATAACAAGATACTAACATGCCAAAAATAGTCTCCTCAGTCCACCCTCCACACCAGCCCCAGCGTGACCTTCCTAAAACCAAACTCTGTGTTCCTCCCATGCTCAAACATCTTTCATGGCTCCCCATTGCCCACCAAACAAAATCCCATGTCCTCAGCCTAACAGTCAAGGTCCTCCTTGATCCTGTCTCATCTCCCACTACCTGCCACCCTCACCCCACCCTGCACTCCATTCTCGCTGGGCCCCCCACAATCCCTGTACATTCTTGCCTAGGGGAGGGGTTGTATTCATTCAGGCTCATCTCTTCAGCCAGAATGTCCTTCCCCCCTTTATCTTCCCCACTTATAAATCTTCTACTCGTCCTTCAAGAAGATATCAAGTGCCCTCTCCTCTAGAAAGACTCCTGATTCTGGAGGTGGACCAAATTGCTCCCTCCGCCATGTGCTCTGAACACCATGCTTGTTCCCTTATTACAACACTTGTCACACTGTGTGTTAGACGTGTTGCGTCTTACACTCACACACAATCAGACACACACACACGCCATGTGTTCTGTTTGGAGGTGGGGAATACAGCTAACTCAGCCCTGCCTCCCATAGCCCAGCACAGTGCCTGACACGCAATAGAAACCAGTTGCCATTGAGTCCACTCCGACTCATGACGAGCCCATGTGTGTTAGGGAAGAATTGTGCTCCGTAGGGTTTTCAACGGCTGAACTTTCAGAAGTAGACAGCCAGGCCTTTCTTCCAAGGTGCCTCTGGGTGGACTCAAACCACCAGCCTTTTGGTTAGCCGTCGAGCACATAACCATTTGCACCACCTAGACACTCAATAAATACCCACTGGATTGACCTAAAGAAACACAAGCTGGTGACCTTCATGGACATCTAGCCTGTCCTCGGGCAGGACAGTGTGTGTGCAAACCGAGCCCATCTCCCGAGCAGACAGCCGCAGACAGCCGGCAGTCAGCCCTTACCGGGATGAAGTTGGCATTGATGTAGTCAGAGTGGGGCTCTCCGTCCAGCTGGGCCAGCCTGACCCGAGAGTGGTCATCTGCAGAGGGTAAGGGTTGTGCCCTCAGTGCTGGGGCACACACAGCCCCCTCTTCCATGCCAAGCCCTGCCCTCTTCCCTGCCCTCTCCTGCCCCATGCTCACAGGGCAGCACATGCGGGTAGCGGTTCTTGGTGGCGTTGGCAGGATGTTCGGCCTCCAGTCTGGGCTGCTCCTTGCCCACCTCCTTCAGCTCCTGCAGGGATTAGGGGCAGGTGGTGGTGTCTGAAGCAGGCCCATCTCACCCCTTCTAGGATAGGGCAGGGTGGTGAGTGCAAACTGGACGTGCCAGCCTCATGCCCTCATCCTTCCTGCTCGGAGCCTTACCTCAAACTCCTGAAAGAACGCCTGGTGGCCATGAGTACTCTTGGCCTCATAGCTCTGCCGGAAGCTCTGGATTGGGATTGGCCGGTGGGTCCTCCTGGTGGGAGAGGGAGGGAGTGGGCCTGGGTGTGCGGGTGATGGGCACAGAGCCGTGGACCTTAGTGCTGGCTGCACAACCCAGTCTCTGGGAGCTGGTGAGAATCCAGCCCCTGGGCTCCAGTCCCCGATCTGGAGTCCACGTGCGTGTGTATCCAGCTCTGGTGCTGCATGAGCTGCCAGGGCTGAGAGCCACCAGTGTGGAAAGATGGAAAGGGGGGTGCACAGGGAAGAGGGGTGGATGGGGGCCTGACCTGCACAGAATGCACAGGCGTGCCTTATAAACCCCTCACGGGGTCTGCAACAGGGTTTCAGCTGGTGTTCAATTAATGTCGGTTCACTATGAAGTCAGTATAAAGAACAGGAGTGAATTACAGGCCTGACAGAGGAAAGAGAAAGAAAAGAGAGAGATTTGGCCTGATAGGATCCAGTGGCCAGTCAGGGAGAAGGCGGGACTGGAGTTGGGAGTTTGGAGGAGAAGGAGGCAGAATGGGCGGAGAGGAGCGGGAGAGCCTGGGGTTGGAGAGCAGGTCTGAGCAGGTGGCTGAGGAAGGAGGAGTGAGGCCCCCTGTCTAGCAGGCATTGCAGAGGGGCAGGCTGCAGGGAGACTTGACAATGTCACCCAGGGCCCACCCACGGCAGCCCCACAGCCCTCACACCACGGGGCAGAGCGGGCAGCGGCACTCACCGCAGGTTGTAAGCAGTCAGCTCTTGGGAAAATTGATTCTTCTGGGCCCTGCAAGGGGTGAAGAGGAGTGTGGGAGGCAGGCAGCCAGGGGACGCGAGGGCAGGGCCAGCCTGTCCAACAAGAGGCCACTTTTGCCCAGCCCCGGGCCCCACCCCGCTCACCAGCTCTTCCCGGCCCTCAGCCCTCCCGACTCACCTCTGCCCTTTCGCTCGCCACCAGCACAGCAAGCCCAGAACGATACAGATGGTAAAGACGCAGCCCACCACAATGCCTGCCACCACAGGGAGGGGCACCGCCACCCTTGAGATGCTGGCCCGGGGCTCTGTGGGCAGCAAGGGAAGGAGGGAGCATGGCAGCCTTGCCTCCAACCCTGCCAGTGCCATGCCAACCTCGCCTGGGCTTGGGACGCCCTCGGCAGAGGGCACTGTGACCCCCCCACCAGAAGTCCCAGATGCCAAACTGAGGCCAGAGATGGCTGTGAGAGGGAGCATCCTGGATGGGCGCTGAGAAGACCCAACAAGCCCGACCTATCCCACCTCCTGGGAACACCCCAAAGACCCTACTCCCCTCCCTGGCACCCTCAAAGAAAAGAAAGAGGACAGAGGCCTGGCTGCCTGGATTTTCTAGAACTACATCGTCCAACAAGGAGTCTCTGGGTGGTGGAACGGTTAAGCACTCGACTACTAGCTGAAAAGTTGGTAGTTTGAACCCGCCTAGAGGTGTCTCAGAAGAAAGTCCTATCAATCTGCTTGTGAAAGGTCCCAGCCTTGAATACCTTATGGAGCAGTTCTACTCTGCACACATGGGGCCACCACAAATTGGAAATGACTTGACAGCAACTAGCAACAACAACAGTAGACCCTAGCCACACATGGCTCTTGAGCACTTGAAATGTGGCTAGTCTGAATGGAGATTCGCTCTAGGCGTAAACTACACACCAAATTTCGAAGATCTAGTAAGAAAAAGGAATGTAAAAGATCTTACTGGTTTTCTTTAAAAATGGATCACACATTGAAATGATTTAGATATCTTGGTTTAAATGAAATACGTTTTTAAAATTAATTTAAACTGTTTTGTTTTACTTTTTTAATGTGCTTACTAGGAAATGTTAATACATGTATGGTTGGCACTTGTGGCTTGCTTTATGTTTCTGGCGGACAGTGCTGTTCTAGAGTGTGGATGGCCTGGGGGCACAAGGCTGTAGCGGGGCAGTGCCGGAAGGCGGTGTGATTATGGACGTTGGCAAACAGGCTCGCTGATATCTGTCTCCACCTCCGGCCCAGCGGGGGCAATTCTGGTGCCAAGGGCACCTTCATCACGGGCTTCCGGGCCTCTCAGCTCTGCTAGGCAGGACATGTTCTCCCTGGAGTCTAACCTCAGTCCCTCCTGCTGCTGGTTGGGAATGAGCCTCAGAAGAGGGGTCCCGGCACTTCTCCCCCACTCCAGGGCCCCACTGGAACCCCAGCTAAGAGCCCACCCTACCTGAGAAGGCTGAGAAGGAGACAATGGGTTCGGGAAGGCTGGACCTGGTAAAGGCAGCAACACTGAACCTGGGCAGAGAAATAGGACCTTCTGTCGGGGGAGGGGCAGGCAAAGAAGGCAAAGCACCTCCCAGGAAATCAAGTCATGAGCAATAGACAGGCCAAAAGTAACAGAGCTTCCCTCCTCTGTTTAGAGGATATGTACTGAGCTACCTTCCACAGAAGAGCAAGCCTCCCCCAGCTTTCCTGCCGTCTTCCCTGCCCTATTCTGAGGGCAAGAGTAAGCCCTAGAAATAGACACCTGAATGTCATTGGCATTGCTGTGGCAAGCTGAAACAGAATCTACACCCCCTTTCCTTTCTGAAAAAAGAACCATGCAACAGTTGAGTGTTCCCCTTTTTCCCGAGTGTTCCCCTTTTTCCCTGCCTGCCAGGACACCCAATCAAAATAACTGGACCCTTTATGAGTTATCCAGATCTTTTGTTGAAATATGTGTAAATAACCCATTTAAGAAAAAGATTATCATGCCCCTTTCTGGCCTTAGCCCTCACCTATACTGAACACCTGGCTTGAGCTGCCCATTACATATCTCCTGAGTCTGGCCGCAGTCCTCGGTACCCATGGGCACTGTCCAGGATCTTGGCACAGCCCAGGGCCCCGGATAGAAGGGATTGGGGAGCAAGATGGCCAGGTAGGAGTCATGTCCTCTGTAGCAGTGGTCATACCAGGTATGGTTGATGGCTTCCCGGGGAGGCCGAGCCACTGGGAAAGGAACAGAGGAGGGACAGACAGGGTCAGCAAGGGGACCAAGGCCTCCCTCTTGGTCACCGGGGGGCGACCTCATTTCTTCTAACATGCTCCCACCATTCACAACCCAACATCCTTATCCTCAGGAGAGCTCTGGCTCTCGCTGCTCACACCACCCACTATTGAATGCCAGCCTCAGACATTTCATCCTGCCAGTCTCAGTCCCCGCACCGAACCACCACCACCTACCCCAGACTGGGCAGCAGCCTGGTCCCCCCACACCCTTCCTAGCCCAGTACTCACATGACATGTTGGTGGTGGCAATGACGCCATACCACTGGATCTGCCCATCGTCCTCGCCAAACATGCCCCGTGTGATCACCACTCCCATCCCCGTGTCAGGCTCCAGCTGGGGGGCGATAGCTAACTCTGGGGGGTGCCAGGCTGGAGATGGAGAGGAGGAGAGTGAGGTCCTAACGAGGTGCCTGAAAGACAGCCTTCCAGGCCAGGGCCATGCCTGCCTATCCCCAGTGCCTGGCACAGTCCCTGGCACATCACAGACCCACAGCAAATGGCTGATGGATACAATTAAATCAGAACGGGAAGGTTCCTAGCCATGGTGCCAGAGCATGAGGCTCCAAAGCATGGCATCAACTTACATGGAATACCTAGGACAGGCAAGTGTATAGAGACCAAAGGTCATTCGTGGTGACCAGGGGCGGGCGGGAGGGAGAGGGAAAGGCAGTCTCATTGCTTAGGGGGTACTCAGCTTCTGTTAAGGGTAATAGAAAAATGGAAATGTAGAGTGGTTGAACAGCACAATGAACATAATGTCACTGGATTGTACATGTAAAAAATGTTGAAATGGCAAGTGTTTTATCACACATATATTTACTTTTTTTTCTTTTAAATATGGTATCCAACCAGCCAGATCAGGGCCAGAGGACAGTGTTGGGGCTTAGGGACCAGGAAGTGAGAACACCAGGAAGGCAGTGATGGAGGGAGACTGAGGGCATGGAAGTGGCTTCAGAGACTGGAAAGTGCCTACCCTCCACAGAAGTGGCACACACCAGGGTGACCGCCCGGCTCCACAGCCCATTTCTGCCCAGCACGGTGAGGCTGAGGCGGTAGGAAGTGGCAGGCACCAGGTTGGGCAACAGGACAGCATCCCCAGAGGTGTTGGCCTGGAAGACGAGGTGAGTATTCCCTCCCACTGCCAGCTGCTCCACCACCACGAGGCAGATGTCCACGTCCCCGGTGGGCACCGTCCAGTTTAGGGCCAGGTGGGTGGCCTTGGGCTGGCACTGCACGTCCTCCACGGGGTCAGGCTCTGTAGAAGTCAAAGGCTCTGTCTTGTGCAGGGGTCAGACTCAGTGCACCCCAAGAGGAAGGTATCTGGGTCAGGGGCTCTCAAAATCCTCAGGTGCAAGGGACTGGGCATCTGTGCCCACAGAAGGGGCCTTGGGCACACAGAGAAACACCTCCTTTGGCCAACACTGCCCTCCGCAGAAGCATATGGAGGGATGGCCCCATGGCAGGCCAACCCACATCCACCTGGGAGGAGCAGGGGCTGGAGTAGAGTGGGTAGTACTGCTGACTGGGTTGGAGTCTGCCTCTCAGGGCAGCGCTATTTCCCCAATAGACATGAACATACCAACAGGCAGAACCACGGAGTGAGTGGAGGCCTGGAGTGGGCCCGCCTGGCATAACACCGACAGGGAGAGATTGCGTCCAGGTGTGAGGCCCCTCAGGATGAAGTGGGCTTGGCCGAGCATCAGGGGCTGCTCCCAGGAGAGGTACCCAGCCTCTGAGAGCTGGGCGTGGCACGTCCCCTGCCCCAAGGGGCCGCTGGCCCAGGCCAGGTGGACCACGGCACTGCCTGCCTGCATCGATACCAACAACTCGTTGGGCAAGAGTGGGGCTGTGGAGGAAAGAACAGGACAAGCAGACTGCCTTTCTCGCCCCTGAGGACCCCAGGCCACGATACCGGGGCTCGCTGACCCCATTCAGAGCTCTGGGGTGTGGAGGTGGGGAAATGGGGCAAAAGGGAGATGAAGGTGCCATTGAGAGGAAAGCCCAGGGATTTCAGAAGCAGCCTGTCCCCAGCCCCACTCACAGGTCCAGCCGGAGGCGTTGGCTGCCGCAGTATGGAGGGGCCCAGCTTTGGAGACCACTTCCACCTCGTACTTAGTACCCGGAGTCAGAGCCGAAAAGCTGGTACTGTCCACCTCGGGTCCCACAGTGCTGCTGCCTGCCCAGACACCAGCCTGGTACAGAGTCACCTGGTAGCTGTCCCGGCCCCCAGGAGGATGGACCCAGGATGTCCGGAGCTGGGTGGGGCCTTCACTGGTCACACTGACCAAAGGAGGGGCAAGGGGAGCTGCAGGGAGAGCAAGATACAGGGAGTGTAGGGGACAAGAGGAAAACTGGAAACCACATCCTGCTCTCCTCGCTCCCCAGAAGATCCCCCCACTTTCCCCTCATCCTTGACCTAATCAAGAAGCCTCTAGGAGACAGAAAGGGCCACATAAACCAGAGACTGCATCAGCCTGAGACCAGAACAACTAGATGGTGTCCAGCTACCACCAATGACCGTCCTGACAGGGAACACAACAGAGAGTCCCTGATGGAAAAGGAGAAAAGTGGGGTGCAGAACTCAAATTCTCATAAGAAGACCAGACTTAATGGTCTGACTGAGACTGGAGGAACCCCAGAAAGCATG